TATTTCATTCAAAGAACTGCTTGAGTCAGTAACACACAAAGGCAATACCATCTACACTGAAGTGCTATTTTGGGATACCGGAAGTATCCCAAAATAGATATTCCACGTCTTTGGAGCACGCCCATTATTTTGAAATATAACGGTCTCACTATTCTGACCTCCCTGTAAACCTCATTCCACGAGGAGTAAGGGACATTTCGGAATAGCGATTTATTTCTAAGTAAGTGCTGTGTAGACAATGCAAAATTTTAAAAAAGCTATTTTGAAATTAACTTGAAGTAAGCTACACAATTTGTGTAGCTGAAATTGCATAGCTTATTTCGAGCTATGGGTACAGTAGAGATACAACCAAACTGTATATTAAACTAATCTCAAAATTAAAATTTCCTGGAACAAAAGTCAAAATATCCTAATTTTTCACAGAACAGAGAGTTCTGAGAAATGTGGATTGAGAAGCATTTATGTTCTTTGTTTGGAAACTATGTATTGAAACTCAATATACCAACACTCCCATGTCAGAAAATTTCATTTAAGTTGTTCACAGCAAAACAAACCACTTCATTTTAGCTGAGTTCAGCATGGGAATATGTTCATCTAAGCTATATGAGCATGTAAAGGTGGATGCACCCTGGTGTGCAGCTCTGGCAAAAATTAACTAAGCTGTGTCAAAAGCCAGCAGGGAGCTATTTAAAGAGCTGGCAGGGACCTGGGTTGAAATAGGACAGTACCTGTAAGAAATTTTAAGTTACTTTCACTACTGGACATGAAGGTTTGGGTGCTCTTTGCAGGATGGACCCCTGGTCACAATTTTTTTTAAGATGAACACCTTGAAGGAAAATTGTATTTAGATTTTGTCAGAGGAAAATAAAAAATGTTGACAAAATCATTTTCTTCACAGAAATTTTCCCACTAGCTCTAGTATGTAGATACATGGTAGTCACATGATTTAATGCAATTAAGGAAGTTCCAGATGTTTTGCCATTATTCTTGCACAATGAATATCCCCTTCTTATTTCTGATCATAGTGCCCTTCTTAAGTGAAATTTTTAGCTTAATAGTGCCTTTCATCAAGAAGAATCCTTAAATGCTGTAAATAAAAACAATGCCCACCACTGAAATGCAGCCATCTCTCAGGACAAATACCAAATTTATTTTAGTAGAGCACATAAACAGAAACTACATGTGAATTTTAGTTAGGAAAAATATAATCTCTTTAATTTGCATTTGAATAGGACCCTTACATTAAGCCTTCTGCCAGTGAGACAATGATTTATGCTGCGATGCCTCATATGCTATGTAAAACACCTTTTTAATCTCAGTCCATAATATATACAACAATAAAAAACTGAACGTTAGGAAGAAAAGAAAATCCCATGCTTACTGTCTGCTGATTTCTCACTTGGGTGACAACGTTCTTGTCCCTCCAGTCAAACTTTGTTGGTAACGGTATTTCCTTTCTCTTCACCACTTTTTTGTATCTAGGAACTTTGTGAGGTCTGCTTCTTAAATAAATAGCTAAATTCATACACAAACCATTATAGTTTAAAAATTGTTTATAACATTACAGAAAGAACACTTGAAAGATTTTGAGATCTTTTTAGGAGCTTAATTTTGAGCACTTTATAACATTTTAAAAATTGCCTTGCTGCTCTGTTCCTCAGTTTCCCCATATGAAAAATGGGGATAATGACAGCTAATGATGGAAAATACTGTAAAAGAGCCTGACATTATTACTATGCTATAAACAAGTTAACAGTCAAGCAAGACAGTTTCAGATTTAGGACAAAATAAGACTTTTTTTAAAAAAGACACAGGCATTAATTTCATCCATTTTGGTATCACACAGGCATTAAAGACACAGGCATTAATTTCATCCATTTTGGTATCAGAGTTTGTAAATTTTGTACAGATTCTTTGTATGTGTGTACACAAACACATAATCTATGGCCTTGCACTTGAAATATAGTTTTGACTGTTTGATGATACTCGACAGATATTTGGTGTGTTGCCAGTAGATCTTTCATCTAAACCTCTTTCAATGATTGACAGTTCCATTGTATCACCAGAATGGTTAGATCCAAAGCCCATTCATGTGAATGGTAGTTTGTCCCTTTACTTCAGTGAGCTTTGGCTCAAGCTCTAAACTGACAGGTCAGTGCTACAAAGCCTAAAAACAATTTAACAAAGAATACGAAATTAGCATGCTAGTTCTTTACCTTTAAAATGTTCAGGAAACAACTGAGAAAACTGATTTATTCCATAGATCGCAGTCTTGTTATCATCTGATGATAAAAAATTCAAACTCCTAATTCTTTTAATACTTTCCTAGAAAAGAAAATTATAAATTCCTGAATGTCTATTAATTTAAAAAATGTAACTATCTTTATTGGGCTTGTAAAGTTTACACAACATCTACATGTCTGAGACTTAAACATATTTAACCATAGTGAAAATCACGTGTCCTTGCAGTACAGTATTTAGGGACAAAACAACTTTGTACCATCTTTATTATAGATTTTATTTAGTTGTAACATTCTTCACTATTTTTTTTAAATTTAAACTGTCTCTTATTCTTGGCTTCACTTCACTTTTTCTTTCTTCTCTAATGCTCAGTATATCTTTTCCTATGCTGTCTTTGGTGTTTCTTTTCTTTTTTTTCCTCTCTTTTTCTAAACCACTTACATCTTTTTTTATTTCTCTTCATTACATACCACTTTCTCTTTTTTTCTCTCCTCCCATATATATGTTTTCTCTTCTTCCACTACCCCTCCTTCTCTCTAAGTATAGGTTCACAAACAGACATGTGTTTCAGATACAGCCGTATTAGTCTGTATCTGCAAAAACAATGGGGAGTCCGGTGGCACCTTAGGGCTTGTCTACACTGTGGAGAAGATTGATGCTGCCACAATCAATCTTCGGGGGCTTGAATGAGTGGGTCTAGTGATCACCCACTAGTTTGAACTCAGAGGGTGCTCCCACTGGTGCCAGTACTCCTTCTCCTCATGAGTAAGGAAAATTGCTGGGTGTATGTGCTCCCATCAACCTCCAGCTATGTGGGACGTTGCCAAAACATGATTTAAGATACTTTGACTCCAGGCTCTTTTAAATCACTGGTATCCTCTTTGCACCTCCTTCCCCATCGGTGAGCTTGATGTCTCATTTTGATAATTCCCTAGGAAACACTTGGCATGGACTTTTGGTCTGACCCAGTATGGCCATTTCTCATGTGGACTCTGTAAGTCAAGGGTTTCAAGATAATGAAAAGGGAGCTGGGTTAGTATAAGTACGCAGAGATTAGCCCCAGAACCTTACACAATGGCTACGTCTAGATTGCATCCCTTTTTCGTAAAAGGGATGTAAATTAGACGTATCATAATTGCTAATGAAGCGGGGATTTAAATCTCCCCCGCTTCATTAGCATAAAAATGGCTGCCGCTTTTTTTCGGCACAGAGCTTTGCCGGAAAAAAGCGCCAGTCAAGACGCAGATCTTGCGGAAAATAAAGCCTTTTCCAAAAGATCCCTTATCCCTTATTTTAAGAGGGATAAGGGATCTTTCGGAAAAGGATTTATTTTCCGCAAGATCCGCATCTAGACTGGCGCTTTTTTCCGGCAATGCTCCGTGCCGAAAAAAAGCGGCAGCCATTTTTATGGTAATGAAGCAGGGGAGATTTAGCAGCCATTTTTATGCTAATGAAGCGGGGGAGATTTAAATCCCCGCTTCATTAGCAATTGCGATACATCTAATTTGCATCCCTTTCCAAAAAAGGGATGCAATCTAGGCGTAGCCAATGGGAATGACTATGAAATTCCAAACTGTGAGAGGAGTAGAGAGTAACAAAAGCCACTATCCTCTGACAGAGAAATTGGCAAACTTTGTTAGATCAAGGCTGACATCTTATGGTGGAAATGAAAAGTACAGGTACTAGAAATCTTCCAGAGCCAACATTTTGTGGCCCAGAAAATCCATTATTATGCATTTACCCTTCTTTTGAAGGAAGATTTCAGTTTTCATTTCATTTAAAATGTCAATGTAAAGTTTAGTTTGGTATACAATGGTGAATGAGGGCCAGAGCTTTTTCAGTCCTAACTAAATATCCTTTCCTTCTTGAATTGATCTATTTGTAATCATATCACTTGCCATGTTACAATTCCACTCATTCTCCAGTCAGCCATAAAATTTCCTGGGGTAGGGAGAACAAGGTAGACAAGACATGACAGGTCTGATTCCTCACTACATTTTTCCTTATATCCATATATAACTACGCAAAGAATGAATACACCGCTAATATTCCAATTTGCTGATATTTCATACTCTCATAACACATTGGAAATAACTACAAAAGGTGCAAGATAGTGGAGAATAAGGCATATATTCAATGTGAAAAGCCAGGAATCAATTTTAAACAAATGTTAATTCATTCTTTCTACAGCTAAAAGCAACCCCTCCCCCCCAAAACAACAAACCCCACAATTTCCTCCCTTTCCAATGCGTCTAGATTGGCATGATTTTCTGGAAATGCTTTTTACGGAAAAGTTTTCCATTAAAAGCATTTTCGGAAAAGAGCGTCTAGATTGGCACGGACGCTTTTCCACAAAAGCACTTTTTGCAGAAAAGTGTCCGTGGCCAATGTAGATGCGCTTTTCCGCAAAAAAGCCCCGATTGCCATTTTCGCGATCGGGGCTTTTTTGCGGAAAACAAATCTCAGCTGTCTACAGTGGCCCTTTTGTGCAAAAGTTTTGCGCAAAAGGGACTTTTGCCCGAACGGGAGCAGCATAGTATTTCCGCAAAAAGCACTGATTTCTTACAGTAGGAAGTCAGCGCTTTTGCGGAAATTCAAGCGGCCAGTGTAGACAGCTGGCAATTTTTTCCGCAAAAGTGGCTGATTTTTCGGAAAAACTGGCCAGTCTAGACAAAGCTGCTGTGTAAGACACATAAGACTTGTCTCTATTTCACCACATACTAAATAATTTCCACCACCACCACCCAACATCAACTGAATGTTACATATAATCCTTTCTGTCACTATCAAATTGAAAATGGGGGGAGGAGAGTGTAGTCTGGTGCTTGAGAGAGACTGACCCTTAAGACATATGGGGAGGGGGTGAATGTTTTAGCAGCAGTTTATAACAGTGCAGAGGGAAAGTTTTGGGGAGCTGAAGTGGGGAGAGGATAGTAGTAGGGCTAGGTGATGGGTATGGAGGCTGAGCAGCCAACAGGCAGGATGGGTGGTGGGTATGGAGGCTGAACAACTGGCAAACAAGAGATCTGGGTGGCAGGTATGGAGACGAGGGGGGAAGCCTGGCAGTCTGGAGGTTTAGAGGCCAGGCAGCAGAGATGAGCCACTAGAGTGGAAGCTGAGCGGAGGGCGGGCAGGCGCGCAGGAGGGGTGGCTCATGGGTGGCAGGTGTGGAGGCTGTGCAGCACTGCTGGCAGGCAGGGAAGCAAGGGGAGGTTGATGGTGAGTGGGGGAGCAGTCAGAGGCAGCGGGTGGGCGGCTGGCTCTGGGTGGTGGTTGCTGCGGACACTGGCAGGGAGAGCGGGGGCGGCAGCGCAGCGGCAGTGGGTACCTACCCGCAGGGCGGCCTCCTCCCGCCCATCCCAGCCAGCCCGGGTGCGGTTGCGGGAGCCGCGCAGCTCCCGGCCGCCGCCGCCCGCGCTACCC